ATTGATCCTTCCATGAGTCGCATAAATTGATCATCTAAGGAAAGTCGTAAAAAGCTTAGATTGGATTTAAGCCTTCATTTGTGAATTTTTGTGTCTTTTGGTTTTATTATTGTGTTTTGTTATTTGTTATTTTTGTTTTAGTGTGTTTCAGGTTTGTCGGTATTCGTTATTTCAGGTGATATCTTCTATACTCTATCTTTCTACCTTTAAACATTGAGGACAATGTCTCGTTTTGGTTGGGGGGAGAGGGTAGTAGTTGATAAAAAAAAAATTGTTTTTCATTTCATAAAGCATGTGCATAATTGTTGTTACTAGGATGACAGAGTAAAGGAGTTCTTTTGTTAAAGTAACTCTTGAGACGCATCTTAGTATGTTGAGTGAAGAAAGTAAGCTTGTGTGATGATAGAGAGAGATCTGGAGAGAGAGAAAGATTAGAAATCAAACTGTCGGAGCTAGATCTACATTGTTGTTGTTTCTGAGCTTAGGTTACGTCTTAGACTCAGTTTCTCTTCTTAGAATTTGGTATCTCTAGTATTTGTATGCTGCCATAATGTCCTTATATTCTGCTGTGGATTCTGTTCCAATGGTTACCTCTAACAATGAACAACACAATGAAGTCAAGTCTGGACATATATTAAGATTAGAGCTACAAGATATGTTGAACAGCCATGGGATGAGGATTTCTCAGTTTACTAATGTTAATCAAGCTGATTCTGAAGCTAGCATAGAGAAGAAACACTCTAATTCCCAAGCTTCTAATGTTGTTTCAGAAATGAATCATGTGTTGGGTTCTAAAGTTGATGAGTTGAAGGTAGGGTCTCAGCAACAAGACCAGCAAAATCATCGCCCCAAATTGAATTTTTTAAATGCTTTGAAGGGTTCTGATGTTGATAACAATGAGGGTACCAAGAACCTTGGTATTTCTCTAGTTCGTAATCTGCATTTTGCTCCCCCTACTATGACTGATGGTCGTGTGACAGTAGCTCCTCCACTTGATGTGTTTGAGGATGGCTGCGAACTTTGGAAATCCACCCTAATTGGTCATTTTGTGGGTCAGAAATTACCATATCCCGTTGTTAATTCTATTGCCAAAAGAATTTGGGGCTCCTACGGTCTATCAGAAGTTTTATCTTCGGATAATGGTTTCTTCCTATTCACTTTTGATTCTGTTGATCATGCCACTAATGTGCTGGAAAGAGCCCCATGGCACATGGCAAGCAGACCTTTGGTGCTTAAACGTTGGCAACCGAACATGCAATTTTTGAAAGGTGATTTAGTCAAAGTTCCGGTATGGGTTAGGCTGTATAATGTTCCTCTCGAGTATTGGACTATTAAGGGGTTGAGTTGTGTAGCGAGTGCTATTGGGGTTCCTCTTCATGCTGATCAGACTACATTGTTGCGTCAAAGGCTTAGCTACGCAAGAGTTTGTGTTGAGATTGATGCTACGAAGATGCTGGTTAAGGAATACGACCTTCGCTGTCCCAATGGATTATTCATAACAATTTCAGCTGATTACGAATGGATACCATCAAAGTGCAATAATTGTAATGTCTTTGGACACACGACAGCGATATGTGCTACTAATAACGGTGCAAATCTTACAATGGAGGCAGAGGGTAAGAGGAAACTAGGAGCTGCGAACTCTAAATCTGCGGATAAACAGCAGAATCAGTTTCAATGGCAGATAGTTGCTAAACGAAATAAGGGTTCTGTGAGTGGTGAGAATGGCACTTTGGCATCTAAAGTGCGTAACTGTAATGAGAATGGTTGTTCGACATCTGGTACAAATATTTCTGATTGTAATATCAATGAGAAGGCTGCATCAGATGTGAGCAATGCTGATTGTTATGAAGATGAAAATCCTACATCTCCTCTTGTTTTGAAGAGTTCACAAGGAGACATGAAGCAGGAGCACGGGGGTACAAGTACTGCTTCAGATCAAAGTTTAGCCATCTCCAATACATCTGATTGTGCGACGGTGAACCAGGTTCTTTTCGTTAATAGTCATGAGCTGAATGTAGATATTGACGCAATGGGAGGTGATACAGATGGGGAACGAACTGATAAGGAGTTGACGTCACCAATCCTGACAAGCCCACAAACTCTGAATTCCACCGAAAGGGAAACTGTTAATCAGTTGGCTATTAAGGCTAGAGACTCTCTAGAGAAAAAGAAAAAGGGTTCGAAAAACTCTTCAAAGAAGAATAAGAAATCTGTCTCCTCGCCTGGGGGCACGTCGAGGTAATCTTTGTGTTGCTGTTTGTACTCCTCTCTATTTTCTTATGATTATTGGATGTTGGAATGTAAGAGGTTTGAATGATCCCATAAAGCATTCAGCATTGCGTCAGCTCATCCATCAAGAGAGGATGACTCTTTTCGGTTTGGTTGAAACTCGGGTTAGAGACGAGAATAAATATAATGTTTCTCAACTTCTTCTGCGTAATTGGTCCTTCTTGTATAATTATGATTTCTCTTGTCGTGGTCGTATTTGGGTTTGTTGGAATGCTGATGTGGTGAAGGTTGATGTCCTCGGAATGTCAGACCAGGCTATTCATGTTTCTATCACTATATTAGCTACCAATATCTGTTTCAATGCTTCAATTATATACGGAGACAATAACGCTTCCTTACGTGAGGCATTATGGTCTGATATAGTGAGTCGTAGTGATGGATGGGAGTCCAGCCCATGGATTCTTATGGGCGACTTTAATGCTATCCGCTACCAATCAGACAGGTTAGGAGGGTCTACTTCGTGGGCTGGTCATATGGACAGATTGGAAACATGTATTCAAGAAGCGAAAGTGGATGATCTTCGATATTCAGGCCTGCATTATACTTGGTCGAACCAATGTCCTGAGAATCTGATTATGCGGAAACTAGATAGAGTGCTTGTCAATGAGAAATGGAATCTGAACTTCCCCTTTTCAGAAGTGAGATTTTTGCCATCGGGTATGTCAGACCATTCTCCTATGGTGGTAAAGGTTACTGGTGATTATCAGAATATAAAGAAACCATTCAGATTCTTTGATATGTGGATGGACCATGACGAGTTCATGCCCTTGGTGAGGAAAGTATGGGAACACAATTCAGGGGGTTGTCCAATGTATCAGCTGTGTTGCAAGCTAAGAAAACTAAAACGGGAATTGAAACTTTTCAATATGACTCACTTCTCCAACATTTTAGATAGAGTCAAAGATGTGAAAGATGAAATGGATAAGGCTCAACAGGCTCTCCATACAGCACATGGGAATCCAACTTTGTGCATGCGAGAAAGGGATGCTGTACGTAACTACGCTTCTATCGTCAAGGCCGAAGAGAGTTTTTTCAAACAAAAGTCAAGGATACAGTGGCTTAGCTTGGGGGATCAGAATACTGGCTACTTTCACAAATCAGTAAATGGAAGACAGCATAGAAATAAACTTCTTTCACTTACAAAGGAGGATGGAGAGGTTGTCGAAGGACATGAGGCAGTTAAATCAGAAGTCATTGCGTACTTCCAGCGTGTGTTAAGAGTGGAACAGATGCCTAGGGTTCTGAATGAGGAAGAGATGGAATCGGCAATTAACTTGAAACTGTCTTCAACGCAACAACATGTATTAGCACAAGATGTAACAAGGGAGGAGATTAAGCATGCTATGTTTAGTTTGAAGAACAACAAAGCCCCTGGTCCGGATGGATTTAACGCAGGTTTCTTCAAAAGAATGTGGCACATAGTTGGGGAGAATGTAATCAATGCTGTTAGCTCCTTTTTTCAGACTCAGAGAATGCTTAAAGAAATGAATGCTACATCAATTTCCCTTATTCCTAAAGTTGCCAATCCTACGAGGTTGACAGATTTTCGTCCTATATCTTGCTGCAATACCGTGTACAAATGCATCGCTAAGATTCTAGCTGGGAGAATCACAGCTGTTTTGCCATCCTTAGTAGGTCCGTATCAGACTGCTTTTATCTCTGGACGGAGAATCAGCGACAACATTCTTTTGTCTCAGGAACTAATGAAAGGCTATCATCAATCTACGGGACCTGCCCGTTATGCTATGAAAGTAGATCTGATGAAGGCTTATGACTCGGTTCGGTGGGATTTCGTTGACGCTATGTTAAGAAAAATGGGATTCCCTAGAACAGTCATTGATTGGATTATGGTTTGTGTTACATCATGTCAATTCTCTATCAACGTCAATGGTGAGCTTGCAGGTTATTTTCAAGGGGGGAGAGGGCTTCGACAAGGGGATCCACTTTCTCCATATTTGTTTGTCCTATGTATGGAAATCCTTTCGGGGCTATTCTGCAAGATGAGTGCCAACCAAAACTTCAAGTTCCACTGGAGATGCAAGAAGGACAACATTTCTCATCTTTGTTTTGCTGACGACTTGATGAGTTTTAGCAAAGGAGATGTAAACTCAATTCGTATGATCAAAACTGTGCTCACAAAGTTTCAAGATCTATCAGGTCTGTATCCAAATCCAAATAAAAGTGACATCTTCTTAAGCGGTGTGTTAAATGCTGAGAGGGAAGAGATTATTCATGTTCTTGGGTTTGCAGAGGGGGAGCTCCCTATGAAATATTTGGGAGTGCCTCTTATCTCGTCCAGACTAAAGGCTGTTTATTGCAAGGGTCTCGTGGATCGAATCACCTCTAAAGTTCGACATTGGACTTGTAGAACACTCTCGTATGCAAGACGAGTACAACTGATTAATTCAGTTTTATTTTCCATCCAAGTCTATTGGGCATCTCTCTTCCTCTTACCTGGGCAAGTCATAAAAAGTGTGGAGCAAATTATGAGATCCTTTCTTTGGTCAGGTTCAGATATGAGAACTACTGGGGCTAAAGTGGCTTGGGATCAGGTATGTCTTCCAAAAAAGGAGGGGGGGCTAGGAATAAAGAGGATAACAGAATGGAACAAGATTGCTTTGTTGAAACACATTTGGAACCTGTGCAATGACTCAGATGGCTCAATCTGGTCTACTTGGATCAGATGTAATCTGTTGCGAGGTAGGAATTTCTGGACAATCAAGACGCCACAGAATTGCTCTTGGGCATGGAGAAAGATTCTAAAGCTCAGATCCTTAGCATGGCCGAAGATGAAGTACATCATAGGGGATGGCAGGACAACTTCTCTATGGTTTGACAATTGGCATCCTCACAGCCCGCTCGCAGATTCTTACGGCGATAGATTCATCTATGATTCAGGTATGGAAAAGAACGCGAAGGTGAATATGCTGATTCATAACTCAGAATGGAAAATTCCTACCACTCACGCTATTGGATGGCACCCCATTGTAGAAGCTATTCCTTCCAATTCTAATCCTATGATAGGGCAAAATGATGAGATTGTTTGGCTGGATTCACCAAATCACAGATTCTCGATCAAAATAGCTTGGGAACAACTAAGATTTCATCATACGATGGTCGAATGGCATGACATTGTGTGGTTCAAGAATGCTGTTCCAAGACATTCGTTTCTTCTATGGGTGGCTGTCCAACAGAAACTCACAACTCAAGATAGACTTCATCGATTTGGTATACATGGTTCCAATAGATGCTCACTCTGTCTCCGCAACTACGAAGATCACAACCACTTGTTCTTTGAATGCTCCTATACTAAAGCGATCTGGTGGGATGTTTGTGACAGATGCAACATTCCAAGAATGACAAAAGGATGGGATGAATGGATTCGATGGGCCACTGTCACTTGGCATGGCAAAAGTTTTGTCATTTTTTCTCGTAAACTCAGTTTTGCAGCTACAGTGTATCATATCTGGCAAGAAAGGAATGCAAGGACCTTTGCTGGAATATCTAGAACTCAGAATTTGGTCTTTCATCAAATTGAATGTATCATCCGTGATAAGCTTGATTTGATGAGGAACGTTCTACCAACAGATGAAAATAAAAGAATCCAACGAGCATGGAGGGTTAATAACATAGATTCTTCATTTGATATTTAGCTGGTTGTATTGGTTTCCCTAACGAATCAAGTTAGGTCTTGAGTTTTCAGTTCGGTGGCTAGCATGTAGCCATCTGTTGTTTTACGTTTCTGTTCTCATTGTAAATCTGGGGTATGCCCCTTATAATCTTTGTATCGTTTTCCTTTAATATATACGTCAACTTACCAAAAAAAAAAAGAGACGCATCTTAGTAACCATTCTTAACAAGGTCTATTATAATACTTCCTGAAATATTCAGATTTACAAACTCTCACATTGTTATTATTTAATTCTGCTCATATACTCATTTAACATGTATTCTTAAACCTTAATTTACACACACACACTTTAACATATGATTGTGGGTTGCACATTGGATTATTACATTATACATATTCTTTTGTTAAAGGTAACAACTAAGGGAAAGGGATAGTATATAATTAAAAAACAAAAACAAAAAAAGAGAAAAAAATGATGATAATAAAAATGTAAATAAGTTTGGTTTCGTAGCCTCTCTAACCTAAGCAATTAAGCCTGAAGGAGTGTTTTAACACCTAATACCCTAAAGTCAACTGACTTGGGAGCTATTGGCCCAATGCTTGTTACACGGGTTGAGGAGAAAAGCTTAAGGAAATCAAACATTGCACTATCTACATATCAGTATCTGCGACCCGAGTTACTAAGCTCGTAGGGGTGTCTTAACACCTAATGCCCTAAGACCGTGACACGAGTTACTAAGCTCGTAGGGGTGTCTTAACACCTAATGCCCTAAGACCAACTGGTCTGGGAGTCATTAGCTGAAAGCTCGTTACATGGGTTAAAGATGCATGATGTTTTTAAATTATATGTATATATATATATATATATATATATTTAAAAAAAAGACAAAAATAATAATCCCAGCCCAAGGAAGTTAACCTTAAACATTAGAACAAAAATTTTGTTTTCTTCCAAGAAAAGCCCCATAATTATGTGTTGATACATTGAGCACAAAAGAAAGGTTTATTAATATCTTGTTAACAGGTATTGAGCAGATATATAAATTTAATGAGAGTTTGTTTATCTGGATAGATTAATGGAAGTTAAATGATGAATACCTTGCTTTGTGAAATTTGCAAATTTGTTTTCTATTTTAACGCTTTGATTACTAGGGACTAGTAATAAGCTGGTTGGGGGGTGGATAGATTAATGGAAGTTAAAAGATGAATACCTTGCTTTGAGGAATTTGCAAATTGTTTTTCTATTTTACGCTTTGATTACTAGGGACTAGTAATAAGCTGGTTGGGGGGTGTGATTAGTACTTAAAAGTGCATTTTTATCATGGTTTTATATCATCATTTTGCACTTGAAGTATCAATAACTCCTTAACCAAAGCATGTTTTATAATAATATATCTAATAATATAAGATACCTTTAATTTGTGGTAAATGTTCATTTTAAATGCAGGTCTATCACATAAATGAAAGGATTGATTGATGACTTTAAGAACTTAAATTGCAAGGATAAAGAGATGGCCAAACTTAGAAAAGAGATGTCGATGCAATCCAAACCGGAACACTGTTCTGTAATTGGGTCATATATGGAGCTATATATCTCAGATTTAGTTCCCATTTATATGGACGGAAAGGTAAGACATAGGCCTACAACTTTCATATGGAGCCCAAGATCTAAAAAGGCCATTTTCAAGTCCAAATTGTAGCAACAACAAAGAAGTCCGAATCTGTCTTCCAGCCCGAGCACTGTTCAGTATTTTGGCCATATCTGGAGTTCTAGAAGTCCAAATGAGCTGAAGTTTTTACACAAGAAAGCTGAGACAATTGCCTACAACTTTCATGTTTGCAACTGTCTCCAATTTTGACGTTATCAATGACATTTTGGGCAGACAAGAGAAGATAAGGATTGTCACCAAGTCAAAAGTTGGCCACCCACTTATCAATTAGTCATCAAATCAATAGTTCCCAATTTTGGCCTATAAAAGGAGGCATTTGCCATGCATTTAGGCATCTTGGTGTCCAGATCAAGATCATGCTCTTCCTTTCTCTCTTTGTATTTTTTGTAATGCTTATGCTTTGCTTTCATTATTATTAAGTTTATGCCTTTTATTTCCTTTCCTTTACTTAGTTAACTTTTATGTTCTTTTTTTGTTTATCTATTTTTCTTTCTTTCATTATGTCTAGCTAAGTTTATTATGTCAAGGTGAAAAGGTTACACTAATGGTGTAAGAATAAGTATAGTGTAAACTTAATATGGACTTTAATGTTTGATACTAACATGTTTTATATTTGTTATCTTGTTCACTCTTTAATACTTTGCTTGTTAAATGACTAATCTTGATTTATGTTGTATAACACTTGGTACAACAAATGCTTGGCACTTTCATAGCCCATAATGTATGGTATAACCGACACCTGAGCTATGAAAGGAACTTGATTTGTTGTTAACATAAGTTATAATCATGAATGCTTGACGAGATTTACAAGTATTAGCATTAATTGAATAAGATGACTAATGTAATCATGTTAACAATATATAATCTGATTGGAACCTCCTTTGTGTGTGGTTTCCAATTCAATAATAAGAGTTTATACTATACTTGTTTGATATACCATTAGTGGAACCTCTAACCTTGACATTTGTTATTATTATTGTTTAATCCTTACATTAATTTTCCATCTCCAAGTTCCTCAAGTCATCAAATAAAAAGTATTTGTGTTTTCGGTGGATCTAGTCCTGGGAAAGAAAAGGAGTTTTTAGAATCAGCAAATCATCTTGGTCAGGTGCTAGCTGAGAGAAAGATTCATTTAGTGTATGGGGGAGGCAGTCTAGGGTTAATGGGAGGTGTGTCAATAGCCCAACGCTTGTTACACGGGTTGAGGAGAAAAGCTTAAGGAAATCAAACATTGCACTATCTACATATCAGTATCTACGACCCGAGTTACTAAGCTCATAGGGGTGTTTCAACACCTAATTCCCTAAAACCAACTGGTCTGGGAGTCATTAGCTAAAAGCTTGTTACATAGGTTAAAGATGCATGGAGTTTTAAGTTATATGTATATATATAAAAAGAAAACAAAAGAAGAAGACAAAAAAATAATAATCTCAACTCAAGGAAGTTAACCTTAAATATTAGAACAAAAATTTTGTTTTCTTCCAAGAAAAGCCCCATAATTATGTGTTGATATATTGAGTACAAAAGAAAGGTTTATTAATATCTTGTTAACAGGTATTGAGCAGATATATAAATTTAATGAGAGTTTGTTTATCTAGATAGATTAATGGAAGTTGAATGATGACTACCTTGCTTTGTGAAATTTGCAAAGTATTTTTCTATTTTAACGCTTTGATTACTAGGGACTAGTAATAAGCTGGATGGGGGGTGTGATTAGTACTTAAAAGCACATTTTTATCAAGGTTTTATATCATCATTTTGCACTTGAAGTATGAATAACTCTTTAACTAAAGCATGTTTTATAATAATGTATCTAATAATATAAGATACCTTTAATTTATGGTAAATATTAATTTTAAATGCATGCCTATCATATAAATGAAAGGATTGATTGATGAATTTAAGAATTAAAATTGAAAGGACAAAGAGATGGCCAAACTTAGAAAAGAGATGGCGGTGCACTCTAAACCGGAATACTATTCGGTAATTGGGTCATATCTGGAGCTCTAGATCTCAGATTTAGGTCTACTTTATATGGATGGAAAGGTAAGACATAGACCTACAACTTTCATATGGAGCCCAAGATCTAAAAAGGTCATTTTCAAGTTCAAATTGTAGCAACAACAAAGAAGCCTGAATTTGTCTTTCAACCCGAGCACTGTTCTGTATTTGGCCCATATCTGGAGTTCTAGAAGTCCAAATGAGCTGAATGCTTTACACAAGAAAGCTGAGACAATTGCCTACAACTTTCATGTTTTCAAGTGGCTCCAATTTTGACGTTATCAATGATGTTTGGGGCAAATAAGAGAAGATAAGGATTGCCACCAAGTCAAGAGTTGGTCACCCACTCATCAATTAGTCATCAAATCAATAGTTCCTAATTTTGGCCTATAAAAGGAGGCATTTGCCATGCATTTAGGCATCTTGGTTTCCAGATCAAGATCATGCTCTTCCTTTCTCTCTTTGTATTTTTTGTAATGTTAGATCAAGATCATGATCTTGCTTTCTCTCTTTGTATTTTTTGTAATGTTTATGCTTTGCTTTCATTAATGTCAAGTTTATGCCTTTTATTTCCTTTCATTTACTTAGTTAACTTTTATCTTATTTATGTTCTTATTTTGTTTGTTTATTTTTCTTTCTTTCATTATGTTTGGTTAAGTTTATTATGTCAAAGTGAAAAGGTTACACTAATGGTGATGCGAACCTCGTGATCACATGGTCACGCAACCCACACGTAAAGATGTCAATTCCTGGAAAGCCAAGTAAATCAAGTTTGATAGGAGTGTGACACAAAGATAACTTGTACCTAGGCACCAGCACTATTAAAAACGGAAACCCCCACCCAACGAATATTGATTCGCGAATGAGAAGTATAACGATGATGCCATGAAGACAGTTGTTCTTCGATAAGTCATTTTCAGTTCTT